AGCTGTGATTTCAGAAAAGAGTTTTATCACAATAGGCCTCTGTTTTCTCATCTGCAAAATGAATACTTGTACCTATCTCACAGGATTGTTGTAAAGATTAAATGACATATTGTTTATAAAGTGGTTAGCATAGTGTCTGGTTCATGGAAAACATCTATAAAACTAGTCACTGCTATTACTATTATTATTTTGAGATAGCTATGTCAGTAGTCATTTTATACAGGGCCATCGTACATAACTCTAGGAATTTAATATTTGGGCATTTTTCAAGTGTATGAGGCACTAACATCAATGTACTGCTGATTTTGCATTTGGTTGTCCAATCAGTTTTGACTAACTATCATGGTTTAAAAAAAAAAAAAGTAATCCCTCTATATCAAGCCAACCCTTCCCTTCCTCGCATGCCAGTATCTCTCAAGCTCTCTGCTTCTCCCCTCAACTGCTCAATTGCCAATGTCTTCTTCCTGACATTTGTGTGAGTAGGTATCACTATTCAAAAATGGTCATCAACCACAGTGTGCTGTACATGTACTGGGAAGGATGTGCCGTCCACAGCTCCCTCAATGCTGTATACAGCTCAGTGGAAAGGCTGTGTTTTGATTTGCAAAATGGCAATTTGCAATTATCTGTTCCAAGTAAACTAGTATTTCAAACCACCTCTTTGAACTGGGATTTTGGGTTTCAAAACGCACTGCCTTTTGAAACTCCGGTTTTTCCAGGTACAGATTCTGACCACACTTCTCTCTCTCTCAACCTTACCACCATGTTCCTGGATCATAAACACCACCCTTAGGCGCCACCCTCCTCCAGGTGTCATTCACCTTCTCCCGGTAGTCTAGAATGTCTCTCCCAAATACACCCTCAGTCCAAGGGCTTTAGGCCCCACCTGTTTGTCTTCTTTCCCTAACCAGCTACCATGGCCTTTTCATTCTCCTCCCCAAACCCCTCACATGTAGATTCCCAGTCCCCCTGCCTCATCTCATCCCTCCTCATTGTGTACTCAAACCTGAATCAGCCAGTCATCCCTTGTGTCCCGTCTTTTCCCGTGACACAGCATCCTTCCATCAGCCACCAAGTTTTCCCCTTAGATTGGTCTCTGAGGGGTCTCTGAGGGTTTTCATCCACAGAACATCTCGAACTGGAGTGCCCTGCTGCCAACTGAAAGTACTGTAATCTTGGGGCCAACAACCATGAGAAGGAAGGGTTAATGAAACGAGCTTTGTGCTCCAAGTGAGGTAACCTGAGCAGAGCTTCTGGCCGGGCCACTAACTAGCTTAATTAAGCACATCTAAGTCTTTCTTCTATACAATGAGAGGATGGTTTGGATACTATGCTACCTTACTGCTTGAAGATCCTAAATGCCCACCCTCTCCATGCCAAAATAAGCACTGGCAGGCATTTGTTTATTCATTCACTCATGTAATAACTATTGAGTGTCTAATACTGTAAAGCGACCTGCTAGGCATTGTGAGGGATTAAAGATCATCCTCCAAAGAGCTTACCACCTAGAATGGGAAATAAGTCAATCACATTAGTAACTGTAAGACAGAAAGAGATAAATGCCACACCTGTAGGTACTCATGAGATAAAGAGACCATTACAAGCGCTTCATTAATACTCAAGCCTGAAACTAATTTTCAACATGTCTTTCCTTCAGTTTCCTTGGCCAAATGCTTTTTCCTTTAAGCCACTCCTTAAATCTCTGCTCTCCACTCTGCACCTAGAGCCACATGCTTCATCTGCGCCCCGGCAACTCTCCCTTGTTACAACTTTATCCCTGAATCTGGCACTCCCCTAACTGATCTGTGATTGCTCTTCAAAATATGAGAATCAGACAATCACCCTGTCCGGCTAGCTTGACTTGGCCATTGTCCTGGCTATAGCTCTAATGTGCCTCCCCCATATCACAGAACATTGATGTCAAATCCCTTCGCAAAACTATCCGTACTTCACTTCTACAAATAGTGGCTGAGGACACATTTTGTGCTTAGAGCTGGATAGGATATCTAAGTCATAGGCTTTGATCTCCAAGTGCTTACACACTGGTCAGGAAGTTCTACGCATGCTAAAATACAAGCCGGGATACTATACACAAAGGGGATAGTCGCAGCACAGGCAATAGCAAGAAATGCCACAGGGTTCAGACGTAGCAATCAAGGAAGGCTTCCAGGAATAAGTCACACCTTAGCTCCACCTAGCATCATGAGTAGGACCTCAATGGGGAGGGAAAGGGGACGGCAGAAGGACACTGTGGGCCAAGGACGTAACAAGACTGAGGCAAGGAAGAAGGCAGTTTCAAGACCAGCAAATTGTGAGATGGGGTTTGAGTGAGAGCTCACTTTTTGAAAGGAGTTTACAAGGTACTGCTAAGATTAGTAGCAGAACAACTAATTTTCTTAGGCTAGACTATACAACGAGAATAAGGAGCCCTGGTGGTGCAGTGGTTAAGAGTTCAGCTGCTGACCAAAAGGCGGGTGGTTCGAATTCACCAGCCACTACTTGGAAAGCCTCTGGAGCAGTTCTACTCTGTCCTACAGGGTTGCTATGAGTCGGAATCGACTCAACAGCAATCGGGTGTTTTTTTTTGTTTTCTTTAAGGAGGTAGACGAGGGAAAAAAAGGTTTAATAATCTAACCAACCGTGAGGACAGTATCTGCAGAGGGTAGTAAAAAGAGCCCTGAAAGTCAGAAAACCTGGATCCCAGGCCCAGCTTTGCCACCGAAGGGCTCAGGCGGCAACCGGCAAGTCATTTAACCTCATTGGTCTCGGTTTTCTCATTTGTAAACTGAAGCAGCTGAACTGGTTGACCTTGAAGGTCCCTACAGTCCAAAACTAGACCAACTGTATATTATTTCTGCCTTTAAAACATTCATCATCCATGGTCTTGGGGAACACCTAGCTCAACTGGCATAATACAGTTTATAAAGACAATGTTCTACATTCTACCTTGGTGAGTAGCATCGGGGTCTTAAAAGCCTGTGAGCAGCCATCTAGGATACTCCACTGGTCTCACCCCTTCGGGAGCAAGGGAGAATGAAGAGAACAGGCTACAAGGAAAAGATTAGTCTAAAGGACTAACGGACCACAGCTACCACGGCCTCCACCAGATTGAGTCCAGTACAGCTAGATGGTGCCCGGCTACCACCATTGACTGCTCTGATCAGGATCACAACAGAAAGTCCTGGACAGAGCTGGAAAACGATGTAGAACAAAATTCTAACTCACAAAAAAAAGACCAGATTTCTGGTCTGATAGACTGGAGAAACCCCGAGAGTATGGCCCCCAGACACCCTTTTAGCTCAGTGGTGAAGTCACTCCTGAGGTTCACCGTTCAGCCGGGAACTGGACAGCCCCATAAAACAATAATGGGACTAATGAGGCACAGCAGTCCAGGGACAAGGACTAGTAGGCAAGAAGGGTACAAGAAAGCTGGTGACAGGGAACCCAAGGTTGAGAAGGGACAGTGTTGACATGTCGTGGGGTTGTTAACCATTGTCATAAGGCAATATGTGTACTAACAGTTTAATGAGAAACTATATGTATGTTCTGTAAACCTTCATCTAAGGTAAAAAAAAGAAATTATCTATGTATGATCAGACTGACAACAGCAACTCAAAAGGTTTGATAGAACACCTGGGGGCAGTGAGTTGAAGATAATGGTGATGGAATAATTTGGAAAAGGATAATGAGAATAGCAGCACAACTGGAAGAACGTATCAGTGTCACTGAATTGTACATGTAGAAACTTTTGAAATGGTGTAACTTTGGCTACGTATATTTTCACCAGAAAAAAAAGGTCCTCCAAGGTCGAGAAGGGAGAGCGTTGACATGTCGTGGGGTTGTTAACCAATGTCATAAAACAATATGTGTACTGACTGTTTAATGAGAAACTACTTGTTCTGTAAGTCTTCATCTACAGTACAATAAAAAAAAATCATCATTGAAGAGGGTGTGACGAGAAGGTACCTGTACTCCCTTTCAATATAGGTTTTTCTTCCTGAACTTAAAATTCTTCTCTAAACTTACTATTTCTATAGTTGTGCATGCCTCCCACATCACAAATTTAACACTTTACTACAGAATGTCCCTATGAAATTCAGTTTAAAATAAGGGGAGCTGATTGCCAAGGGGGTGGGAGCAAAACCCACTTGTTTCAACTTTGTGGCACCTAATTGCTAGGTGTGTACCCCCTGGCCTGAAATTTCGTTCATGGCTCACAGGTTATCAGAGAAATTTGTGCAGAGCTGCCTTAGCCTCATACAACTATACCCAGTACCACAGCCTCGGGGTAAAATACTCCACATATAAGCCACAAAATATCAGAAGGTAATGAAAAGGAAACAGTGGGGAACTGTTACTCATTTAAAAGGTGCTTCCATTTAATAGCATCAGGTGCAGCCTGAAACAACACTAATGCAGAAAGGTAGTGGGAAAAACCTGAAATTCTACAAGTTCCTACTTGAAAATGCAGTTACAACGTGGATAGCTCCCTTTTGGGCACTGAAATTCGCTGAAAGTTGACTTTTTTTTTTTTTTTTTGCCGCATCCAGAGGCCCCCTGTTCCTGGAAACGCACCAAGACCAGAAACCGCGGATACGATTTCACTCCAGCCCTCCTGATCGTATAAATAAACCGGTCACAGAATTTATGCGAAACAGACTGGATCAGAAAGCCTCACCAGCAGCCACTCAAAGTTTACAAGAGAGGAAAACAGAAAACAAGGCGCATAACTTCATGTAAAGTATCGTAACGCAGACCTCGAGCTTACAATTTAATTAACAGTATAAATATACGGTTTATCACCTGCCCGCACTCCACGCCTCCCCGACCCGGCACAAGCGCACCCGGAGGTCGGCGGGCGCCGCACTGCACGGCTGGGAACCGGGAGACGCTGCGCGCGCGAGAAACCCGGACCGACTGCCCACCCCCCCAGCCGCTGCGCGCCAGCCAAGAAGTTTTCTGTTTAGCCTTCCTCTCGACCCCATCGCCGAGACCCATACCTGCCCCAGCAGTACCGCCGTCGAGCCCCGCAGCTTCCTCCTGGGATCCAGCAACCGGCAACTCGGTTCTGCGGCTACCTTACCACGCCCACCTAGCCGCTACGCTCGCGCCACTGCGCATGCCCGGTCGGCACCCGGGCCAGCAAACTCGAAACTCCACTTGCTGGGTTTGGCTGCCGCTCCCAAGGGAGACGAAGTGAGGCCCAGAGCTCGGGTTCAGCGGAAGGTGGAAGAGGAGTTGCAGGTGCTGGGAGGGGCGAGGAGAAAAGGTGGCCAGGCGCTGCCTCAACGTTATCCTTACTGCCCACAGCTACCCAGGACGTACCCCTTCTAAGCCTACAGATGACTTCCAACTACACCCTTGGAATGAGTTTAGTAGTTCCTAAACTTGAGCGTGGATCAGAATCACATGGAAGGCTCATTAAAACACAGATCCCACCCCCAGAGTTTCAGATCCAGGGTCTGGAGTAAGGCCCTACAACTTGCATTTCCAATCGCGGTGCTGATGCTACAGACCCACACTCTGAGAACCACTGGTCAAGAGGAAATGTATTCAGTATTGAAGGAAGAAAGTGTTCTCTCCCCACCTCTTTTTTAGCATTTCACACAATACTTCTCTTCATTTAACATCCACACCTGCTTAGAAAAAAATAAATAAATAAAGCCCCCACTCAAACAAAGGTGGGATATTTCCTTTAACATCCGAATCAACTAAATGGAATGCGACCTCAAGAGTTCTCATATGCGTTGCCTGTAGCAAAATCCATAGCTGGGGTTCCCCCAGCACAGTCCAGGGATCAGGATGGGTCCCTATTTTGCTGCCACTTTAGTTCAAAGTCATGTACACCCCCTTCAGTTCCTAGCACAGTACCAGGTACAAAATAGACACCCCAAGCAAACCCGAGATGGTAGCAGTGGTGCTGCAGAAGAAACAAAGACATTAAAATTATTTTAGGAGCGCAATGAATTGGATGAGCAATTAAATATGGAAGCAGGTAGGTCAAGGACGGAGGGGATAAGAATTTCTCCCTGCCTTCCACCTAGAGAAATCGGTGTATTTAGTATCCTAATATGAGGTCAGATATACAGAAGTAACTGAGTATGTAAGTTCTCACAAAATAAAACAAAATACATCTTAAAAGTTAAACATACATCTGTCGTATGACCCAGCCATTCCATTCCTAGGTATTACTCAAGAGAAATTAAAATGTATATTCACATAAAGACATGAATGTTCACAGAAGCTTTGTTTCACAATAGTCTCAAACTGGAAGGAACCGAAACATCCATTGACAGGTAAATGGATAAACAAGTTGTGGTACATCTACTACTCATACAGGCCTCAACATGGATAAATCTCAAAATTATTATGCTGAGTGGAAGAAGCTGAAGACAAAAAACTACATACTGCATGATTCCTACTTCTATAGACCCAAACTAATCTATACTGATAAAAAGCAGATCAGTGATTGCCTGGCGTCAGGTGTAGGGGGAGGGTGGCCCATAAAAGGGCAGTAAAGATCTCCTGAGGCAATGGAAATTTTCTGTGTCTTGATTGTAGTGGTGGTTTCACAGGTATATACAACCGTCAAAACTAAATTACATACTTTAAATGTATGAAATTTATTTTACATAATTATTCCTCAATATTTAAGTTGATAAGAAAAAAATTTAATCAAATACCAAGATAAATTTATGTAGAAGTATAGGCTCTTTTTCCCTGCCCCCCCCCCAACATTTTATTATGAACATTTTCAAACATACAACAAAGTTAAAAGAATTTTACAGTGAATACCCATATACCCATCACTTAACCTCTACCATTAACATGTTGTTATATTTTATCATGTAACTATCTACCTTAAGGAGCTCTGGTGGTGCAGTAGTTAAGAGCTCAGCTGCTAACCAAAAGGTCAGCAGTTCTAATCCACCAGCAGCTCCTCGGAAACCCTATGGGGCAGTTCTGCTCTGTCCTATAGGGTCGCTAGGAGTCGGAATTGACTCGACAGCAACAGGTTTATGGATATCTACCTTAAACTTTTTATATTTGTTTTTAATTAAAAGTTTAATTTTTTTTTCACCCAGCTATCAAGTAATAATGTGCCATTGTCTTGAGAGATGTTTACTTTTTTGTTTCACAGAAGGATAACTTAAACTTCAGTTAAGAGGTTCAGAACAGGGTTCGAACCGATTCACTCTGGTTTGAACCCCCGCTGAGAATCTGCAGCTCTAACAAGTTCCCAGGTGATGATAATGATTCCACACCAGATAGACTGAATCAGAATCTACATTTCAACCAGATGGATCCCCAAGTGATTCTTATGTGTAATAAATTTTGAGAACCACTGCTCTACTGGTAGTTCTCAGAATTGGTCCCTAACCTGCAGTATTAGCATGGCCTGGGAACTTGTCAGAAATGCAGATTCTCAGCAGGGGTTCAAACTGGAATGAGCCAGGTCGAAGCCCTGGTTCAGAAGAATTGTTTTGGAAGTGTAGGCTCTTAAAATGATGTAACCTGATTTGGCGGGAAGGCAAAAAAAAACAAGAAGTTTTTTAGCTTAGAGGAAGCTAAAAAACAATCAGTATAAAATGTCTGGAAAAACCCATCTGTAAAAGTAATCATCCCCACGATATGATTTGTAAATGTATTGCTGATAAAACTAAAGCATTTCCCAAAATTATCTCTGAAATCTATAACAGTAGAGTATATCTTTAGAAATCCATAACCAGTACATAATAATTATAAAGAAAATTATCTTCTTAAATGTTTGTATCACTATTCCCCAGACTCCGCTGCCGTCAAGTCGAGTCTGACTTATAGCGACCCTGTAGGACAGAGCAGAACTACCCCATAGGGTTTCCAAGGAGTGGCTGGTGGATTAGAACTGCCGACCTTTTGGTTAGCAGCCAAGCTCTTAACCACCATGCCACCAGGACTCCTATTAGTGAGAAATTAAGGTTTTCAAACTTCGTTTCCAGGAGCCCTGAATTTCATAGAAATGACAAACAGCCAGGGCTCTGGATCAAGGACTCTATTCCAACCAGCACACTATTACTTACATATTGGGGTATCCTGTGCAATTTTACTTGATAAAAGGGTTCCACTGATAATTAAATGAGAAATAGAAAAAATTGAAGTAAGGGCATCTGGAAGGAAGAATTCACAGAGAAGAGAAGCTGTATTTGGTGGACACAAGCATTCTGGTTGTCACAAGTGTACACGATAGTTGTAATAACCATATGTTCCAGTTTTTCCGTAACAGTCCCAATTTTAAATATTTATTGCATGAATTTGTGTCTAATCATGTGTTCCAACTGTTGGCTGAAAAAAATAACATCGCCAATTTAAAGTAAAAGAGGAAGCAGTCCAGGGACAAGGACTAGAATGCAGAAGGGGACAGGAAAGCTGGTGATAGGGAACCCAAGGTTGAGTAAGGACAATGTTGACATGTAATGGGGTTGTTAACCATTGTCATAGGGCAACATGTGTACTGTTTAATGAGAAACTATTTTGTTCTATAAACCTTCATCTAAACAGAGAATAGCAGCACAACTGGAAGAATGTAATTGATGTCACTGAACTGTGCATGTAGAAATTTTTCAAATGGTGTATCTTTGGCTATGTATATTTTCACCAAAAAAAAAAAGGTCAGGAACGGAGAGGGTTGACATGTGGGGTTGTTAACCAATGTCATAAAACAATATGTGTACTGACTGTTTAATGAGAAACTATTTATTCTGTAAACCTTCACCTGAAGTACAATAAAAATAAAATAAAATAAACAAATAAAAAAAAACTTAGGATTTTCATCATGGAGTAAGGAGAGTGTGATCTGGAATAAGCAATGGGTAGCAATAAAAAAAAAAAAGTAAAAGAGGAATAATTTTCTAGGCTCTTCTACAGCTTGTATACAATATGAATAACACCAATAGCTAAGAGTAGTTGAGCTCACTCTTCAAAGCATTTAGTGTTTTATCATTGAATCTCTTTGACAACTCTAAGAAGTTATCTTCATTTTATATGGTGAGGAAACTGACAAAATGATAACTAAAAAGACTACACTCTCTTTGTTAATTCCACACTTCCTAAGGATCCCTCTGGATTATTTTTTTCCCAGGCTCATTGATCTGGAAAAGGTAACTGCAAAGAGCAGAACTCCAATGGTCACCACCATCATCACCTTCATCATCATGACTAATGTTTATTCCATGTTTTCTATGTGCTACCTGCTATGCCATGGACTTCATGTTCTTTATCTTATTTAATTCTCGCAAGGACAAAAGTGGACCTCAGAAATACTAAGAAACAGAGTAAGTGGTGGAGCCAGAATTCCAACTCAAGTCCACCTCCAAATCTGTGCTACTTAACCACAATAGGAGTCCCTGCAAAGTTATAATATATTCCATATTCTAAAAGAAAATAATAAGCATTTTGGATTATAAGTGAATCTTTTGAATGTGGTTAGTGTTATTCAGTTTCCTAGAGCCTCCTGGTTTATAAAAACTGCTCATAACCACAACACCCAAATGCCACCCAGTCCTGATCCTAACCTAAAATTAGCTGCTACCTATGGGCACCTATTTTACTTCCAATGTTAAGGAAAAGTAGGTGCATTCTGAATGACAATAAATGGCACAGGAAGTATAGTGAGACAATATTTAGTTTACCTGGCTTTTTTTCCAAAATGGAGTAGAGAAGAAAAATCTGGATGAAAAACGCCAAGATTTTGTTCAACTCTGGCCTTATGATACTTTAGTTTGTCTTTTCTAAAAAAAAAAAATTGGTAGGAGAAAAGAATAATGTGGAAAACAAGGAGACAGAAAACAATGCCCCCAAAAATCTTATTATCTCTCTCTCTTTTACACACACTCTATTTGGTAGAGACTGGATCAAAATATCCAACCAAGTACAAGCACCTACACCCTATCTACCATCTCAAATCCAATGAAATAATATTTTTTTTAAGGTAAAAAATACCTTAGGAAAACAATAAATATTGCCATCAACAAACCAAAAATGTTGACAAAAGACAGAATTCATATAGGATCACATCTCAGTGAGACAGAACGGGAAGAAAGTTCAGCTCAAATCATATGCTAAGGCAAAGGTTAAG